GTGGGGATGTTTTCACACACCCATGCCAGGTCTCTATGGGAGTCAGGCACGTTCTTGGAAATAACTTCATGTCACATCACACAATCTAACGGCAAGTGGGCTTGGACTAATAGCCTCTTTCCGCCCACCAGATGTGTCCTCACCAGCTCTGTACCTCGTGTTGAACTTGACACCTCTCGGTGGGTGTGGAACAAGAGATGGTGGACCTCAACACCCCAGGTTCTTTGTATGACTTTAATTGTCAGAATTAAGCTGTGCAAATATATCCTCCCTGTAGTAGGCTGTCTTAGTGTTATACTGATGTTTTCTTGTACTGCACAGAAGCATTTTGGTTGATACAGTCCCAGCTATTCATGTTCCCCTTTGTTTCCCTTGTAGCTGGAGATGAATCCACAAACACATCTGAAATTTATATTGTAGAGTGTTTTGCCCAAGATGTCTTCTATGTGTGTTATGGTTTGGGTCTTACATCAAAGTCTTTTATTCATTTTGAATTGATTTTTAAGTGTTTGGAGATAGAGTCATCTTGTTTCATTCTTTTTCAAGAGTGTCCAGTTTTTTGTTTGTTTTTTTTTTTTTAATTAATTTATTTATTTATACCAGCACTGGGTATAGTCAGAAGTGTGGGAGGGTGGGAGAATTCACCAGAGCGGGGAACAGAACAGGCAGACCGATGAAATACACTGCTGAGGGGAGCTGCGGGCGGCAGGAGAGGTCTGTGCGCCATGTGGGACCCTTGCCCGGTGGCCGGGGATCGAACTGGCACTGCAGAGGCTGTGGGCAGCTTCCCAGCCCAGCGCTCAACTGCTGCGCCACCAGGGAGGCCCCGTGAGTGTCCAGTTTTCCCATTGTCATTTACTGAAGAGGCTCCTTGCTCTGGTGTATGTACTTGGCTGTTATTTTGTAGAGTATCTGTTCCTGTACGTCTGATTTATTTCTGGGATTTGATTCTATCCCATTGGTCTCTGTGTCTCTTATTTCTGACCATTTTAATTATCCGGTATTGTTTAGTTACTATACCTTTATAGTATTGTTTGAAGTCTGGTATTGTAATCATTTTTCCCCTTTTTGTCAGAGTTGCTTTGTATCCGGGATCTTTGGTGAATCCATATGAATGTCAGTAATGTGTGTTTTATTCCGTAAAGGTGCCGTTGAAAATTTCGTGTGTTGCATTGAATCTGTGTAGTGCTCTGTGGAGGATGGTCATTGTGGCCACCTTGATTCTTCCAGCCCATGAGCAAGAATAACTTTCCATTTCTTTGTGTCTTTCTCTGTTTCTTTTAACAGCATCTACTAGTTTTCCTTATACAGGCCCTTCACGTCCTTTGTTAAGTTTACTAACTAGGTATTTAACTTTTATTTATTTTGGTGTGATTGTAAATGGGACAATTTCTTAATTTTTTTTCCTTTTCTAACCCATTGTTTATATATATACGAAGGCAGCTGATTTTGTTTGTGTTTATATCCTGCCACTTTGACTTGTTTATTGTTTCACTTAGATCCAACATCCATGTACGCCAAAAATCCTAACAACTGGACATAAATGCAACTCATCCTAAAAATAATAAAAACTCTTTCTAGGCATTTATATCTTAGAACATCCGTCTGAATCCTGATTTATTATTCCTGTACTATGAGAACCAAGAAAACAGACTTAGGGCAATCTTTTTTTAAAATAATATCATACAGCCTCCATGGTGGCACAGGTTGTTTAGAGCAGCACTGTGAAGCTGTCCGCAACCTCTGCAGTGCAGGTTCGCTCCTGGCCAGCAGACCTCTCCTGTCTCACCCACTGCTCCCCTCAGCAGTGTATCTCAGTCGATCTGCCTGTTCTGTTCCCCGCTCTGGCTCTGGTGAATTCTCTCACCCTCCCGCACTTCTGACTGTACCCAGTGCTTGTATAAATAAATAAATAAATCTAAAAAAAAAAATTAAAAAAAAAATAATAATAAAAATAAAAACAATGTCAGAAAGCAATTGAAGCTTGTGGAACTTTTTGTGTATTATGTATAAAGGGACCCATGCAGTATGGATGCCTAATTTTGTATGACTCCTGTAATTCTCAATAATTTTATGTTTTATTTTATAATGCAAAATATCTTCAAAATTCATTTTGAAATATAAGTTAATTTTAATACAAAGCTATTTATTAAAGGAGACTCTCATTAAATTCTTTTCATTTCTTTTGTGCTTACCTTTTAATTTTTTCAATTGAAGTAACCTTGCATTATAATGTTATATAAATTTCAGGTATGCATGATTATTAATCAACATACGTATATGCGACATAAAGTTCAGTACTAAATGTTTTACTTTATCTTTCATTATACCATTGTTCTCGGTGTCTGATTTAAACACCTCCATTCCACCATCTTCCTGTGAGCCACTAATTGTTCTTCTATAGTCCAAAAGTATATTTTGTTTTATGGACATGATCCGTTTGTTTTCTTTCTCACATATGAGGAAATCACATGGTATTTGACTGTCTCAGATTGATTTATTTCAGTATGATAATTCTGTTGTTATCGCTCTGTAGTTGCAAAAGGTGTGATTTCATCTTTTTTAGTACCCAAATGGTATTCCATTATCTACATATACCGCGTCTTTCTGTCCATTTGTCGATCACTTGGATTGTTTCTACATCTTGGCCAGTGTAAATATCATTGCAGCAAACATGGGTGGCACATACCCCTTTGAATACGTGTTTTTGTGTGTATTTTCCAGTAAATACTCAATGAGACAATTGGTCATAGGGCACTTATGTTCTTCAATAATTGAGTGATTTCCATACTGCTTCCATAACAGATGCAGATTTTCCCATCCATCCACATTACATAAGTGTTTCCTCTTCCAGCGGGGACCCTGTGAGCTCCACCCTCTACCAGAGTGGGGAGATCAGAGTTTTCAGGGGATCCCAGATGGCTTCATAATGGATCCCAGAGCAGAGCAAAGGACAGTGGGGAAGAGAAAACAGTACTTCTTTGCAATGTGTCAAGCAGACTTGAAGCATTTGCACTCCAGGGCCCTCAGTGGACAGCAGAGCTGGTGGTGTGGTGTGGTCATTGCCTGTGGTCAATGCCTGTGGCCACAGCTGTGCAATGGGCACACAGCCCACATAGGTGATCCCTTCATATCCAGGCCAGCTGAGTCCAGAGATGGAACCCTGTGGACTAGACCCAGCGCCAGTCACCAGGAGACTCAATCCATGGCAGGAACAACTATAGGGAGGTGGGAAGAGAAGTTATGATAACTGAAGACCAATTGGAGCTGCTGTGGAGAGAGAGGGGAGGAGGTGGAGGTGACAGAGTTCCCTTCTCAACAAACTGAGACAACATTTAAGTCCCAGACTCCCCACTGCCCACCTCACGCCAAGGTAAACTAGAAGAGAAACAATCAAACTAACCCACAGCACCCCAGCTGTACACCTGGAAATGAGGTGACATCAATACTTAGAAACCAAGGAACATCTGAGCACAAGAAACAAAAAAAAAGTAGCAGAACAGAAGTTCTGGCTCATAAATACAGGAGAGAGAAGCAGAGGAGTCTCAGTGACGTGGAGCAACAACATTAAATACACCCGTGAGTTATGGGAGGTGACTCAGGGCAGACAGGCAGCTGCGAGACCTGAGAAAGAAGATAAAGAACGGGAGTCTTCACCCAGAGATGCACAACATTCAAGGAACACAAGAGTCTCTGAAGGTAAATCAACAAAAATATAAAAAATGTTTTATACAGAATTCAGCTGGCAGGCATGATAACTTCAGAAACAGAGGATCAAGTGTATAAATCACCCAATTAGGAAATCAGAGACAAGTAAGACATAGATAGAGGGAAAAATAAGGAAACACTACAAACAATGTCAGACGCAATGAGAAGTGGAAGCAAAAGGACAGTGGATCACCCAGAAGGTGAAGGAGAAGGAGGAGGGACGCCTTTCAGAAAAATCATAGCTGAGAATTTTCCAAACCTACAGAATGAAATGAGCATGAATGTCCAGAAGTGGAGATGACACCTGGATTACAAAGTGAAAATGTCGGACAGCTGACACCCCGCCGGTAAAGTATAAACATTCAGAAAAACAGATACCAATTTAAAGGAAGCCTGAAAAAAAGTGAATTTGCAAAGGCATCCAACTTAGACTTCTCAGATTTTGCCCCCGTCACTCTCCAGGAACGGAGAGGAATGAAGTGCTAAATAATCCTAAATACAAGAACTTCCCACCAAGAACACTCTGTGCTGCGAAATTATTCAGTGATGAACATGAATAAAAGCTTCCCCAGAGAGAGAAGCCCATGCCGTGAATCACTGTCAGATCTGCCAGCCTGACAATAAACGCTGACCAGAGTTCTTTTACAGGAAAGCAAAAAATGGGGCGGGGAGAGGAAGGATTAGGGTCAAAACAAGAGGGGGGTGCAATTGTACGGGGAATATAACCAAAGTGAAAATGCATACATTGTGCAAAAATGAAAAATAATGTCAGAATCATATTAAAAAAAAAAGAAATGTCACAAAGTCCTGCGCAAAATGACAAAAACAGGAATATTATGGGTCAAAAACAAATCACCAAAAGGAAAGAAGGAAAGGGTAGAATTGAGGGGCAGCTGCTCATTACCTCTCGATGCGCATGGATGCTGTGAAGGGACAAGATTTTTTGCTGGTAATTATGAGTTGTTTGTTTTTACCCTATAGAGTTCTGCATATTTTCTCTCCATTTCTTTCCTTTATTTTGTAAGTAACTAGTTTCCTGTCTTAAACATTTTACTAAAGAAAAATTCACACAGATTATGATGTTTTTAATACTGAGCCCAGGATTGTGACCAGTTAAGAACAATGAAGGAAATATAGAAAATATATTTATAATATATAAAACACTAATGTCAAACTGTGCACATAACATAAAGCACAATTATCTCTGACTGACTGAGGACAGGATCATGACTTAGTCCATGGACTGTGAGCCCTGCTGCTCCTGACCAGACAGCCTGAGGAAGTGGCCCCCGTCATGTTGGGGTTTCTCTGCAGCTGAAGAGCCTCCCCAGGGCCTGCTTTATGTCCTTGTTTCTGAGACTGTAGATGAAGGGGTTCAGCATGGGGGTGACCACTGTGTACATCACTGAGGCAACTGCACTGTCCCTGGAGTTGTGGGTAGCAGCAGAGCTGAGGTACACGCCAAGGGCCGTCCCGTAGAGCAGGGAGACCACGGAGAGGTGAGACCCGCAGGTGGAGAAGGCTTTGTACCTGCCGCTCTCTGAGGAGATTTTCAAAACAGAGGACACAATCTTAGAGTAAGAGTAAAAGATGCCACTGAGAGGAATGATCCCCACAACCCCTGCTGCTAAATACATCACCAGCTCATTGAGGAAGGTGTCAGAACAGGCAAGCTGGATCACCCGGCCCAGTTCACAGAAGAAGTGGGGGATTTGCAGCTGTGAGCAAAAGGACAGTCGCAAAACCATTAAGCTGTGTAATAGAGAGTGCAGAAGACCTAACACCCAGCATGCAAGAAGCAGGAGGCCACAGAACTGGGGGTTCATGATGACCGTGTAGTGCAGGGGATGGCAGATGGCCACAAACCGGTCATAGGCCATGGCTGTCAAGAGGAAGTTTTCCAGTCCTGCAAAGAATATGTAGAAAAACATCTGGCTGAGACAGCCCGCGTAGGTTATGGCTTTGTTCTGCGTCTGGATGTTCAGCAGCATCTTGGGGACGGTGGTGGAGGTGAAGCCGATGTCGGCAAAGGACAGGTTGGCGAGGAAGAAGTACATGGGGGTGTGCAGGCGGGGGTCCGTGACGATGGCCAGGATGATGAGGAGATTCCCAGTGACCGTGACCAAGTACATGGCCAAGAATGCCCAGAAGAGGAGGGGCTGCAGCGAGGCCTCTTCTGAGAGCCCCAGGAGGGTGAACGCTGTGGGGTGGGTTTGGTTTCCTGGCGCCAGGTCGCTGGGGAGCCTGGGGGATGGAGACAGAAGTGATGTAAATTTGACAAAAGAAAAGCAAACAAGAAATGAGGTTAAATGGTGTGATTTCATTTTAAATACATTCAGCTAATAAATTTCGTGTTTTGGAGCTCGTGCCTATTGCCTGGAATTTTCAAGGTGGCTAATGACCCAACTGCTCTAGAGGCTGAGAATTAGCTATTCCTACATTAAGTACAAAGGTTTTCCCATTTCAACATTTCTTGGAAATGCCCTGAGATTTTCTTTAAATATGGTTGACCAGTTATATTATCCACTTATTGCTGGAATCATGGAGAAAAGCAGCGAGAGTGACTTTGAAAATTCCTTGCCCTTGGGCCTCCTTGGTGGCCTCGGGGTTAAGGATCAGGGCTACCACCTCAGTAGCCTGAGTTCAACTCCAGCCGGGAGCTGACCCACATGGTGCAGCAGACCTCTCCTGTTTTGCCAGCGCTCACCTTCACAGTGCATTTCAGTAGATCTGCCTGTCTCGCTCCCCACTCTGTCTCTCGTGAGTCCTCTCATCCCCCTCCCCTCTGGGCTTTGCCCAGTTCTATACATAAATAGTAAGTCTTTAAAAAAAAATAAAAAAGCAAAATCCTAGTCCCAAACAAGTTTTCTCCTAAGTATGTGTGTAGTCTCAGTAATTAATATTTCATATGGTGATTATTGTTACGTAAAATAATGCAGTTGAACGAAGAGGTGGAATCTAGAGGAAACTTGTGTGATCACTTCCAATTAGGAGACTTGGAATAAAAAAATCTCAAGTCAATGGGATTTTTTATACAAAGGACATATGTTGTGGCAACAATTTATCCATGAGAAAAACATTTGGGTTTGGGGAAATAGCCAGAAAAAGATGTCACTGCAGGAGCGTTGCTGGCACAGTTACAGATCCCAGAAGTAGGGGTGTGACAGGAGGGGGCGCTCCAGGTCGGGGGTGAGATGAGAGGCCCCGGCATCATGCTGCTGTGGAAGTTCCTACACAGGACATTGTACATTTGCTGATCTTCCTTGTGTGGATTGTGTTACATGTGCTGTGCCTAAGTGTAGGTTCTATGTAGTACATGTATCAGTTTTCCATAATTTAATCCCTCTGTAAAGTATAATTTGTTTCCCTCAGCTTTCGTTTCATTTGAATTCTTAATATTCGATTACAGAAGGCAGCTTTAACTTGGGATTGATGTCGAATCTGTGCTTCGCTTTACCTGTAATAAGTGGTTATTTCTCTTACTTTAGCCACACACACACTTTCTTATCCAAGATTAGAGCATTTTGTCCTGTGCACTGAGGCAGAGCTGAGAATTGGAAATCAAATCACTAAGGACACAGGAAATAGGAAGTGTTTCACTTTCCCCAGAATGAGCTCTCCAGAATTGTTGTAAAGACAGTTGCTGTTTTCTTCTGCATTATCAGACACTGGCTACCTAAAAGCAAAGAATCATGGTTATTGTAGCCTTATTTATTTATTCATGTATTCATGTATAACTGAGGTAATTTTGGGGTTCCCCCTCCCAGTGTTGCTACCATAGACCACTGCCACCAACTCTCCCATATTCCACCACCACAGACCATTGTGCTTCCTTCCCTCTTTGCTCTTTTCCCCTCCCTCGGCTCTGCTTCCTTGGTGGTTCCGTTCTGTAGTCAGCCATCAACGGTTAGTTTTTCAACTTGACTTAATCTGTTAATTTAGTTACTTTATATTCCACATATTAGTCACACCATCCATCGGATATTCATTTTCTCCTAACATATTTCAATGAGCATTATGATTTCAAGTCCTAGCCATGTTGCCATAAATGACATACATTTTCCTTTTTGATTGCTGAGTAATATTCCATTGTGTACATATGAGATCTTCTTGATCTACTCATATGTCAGGGTGTATCCTCTATAATAAATAGTGCTGCAATAAACATAGGAGTTCAGGTTTTCTTCAAATTAGTTTTTTGAATTTTTTGGACAGATGCCTGTGAGTTGAATTATTGGGTCAAATGGCATATCCATGTTTACTGTGTGAGACACGTCCTCACTGCTCTCTGTAAGGGCTGGGCCAGGCTGCACTCCCACCCGCGGCGAGTGTGGCCCACTGCCCTGCATCTGAACAGCATCCTGTCAGGGTCAGTTCCTTTGCACCGTCTGCTTCTTGGCAGGCTCCAGTTACCCTCAACTCTGACTGGAATAAGCTGATTGGGGGATAAATGGATACATTAATGAGTACAAATACTATTTAATATTAGAATCATCAGGGTCTTTATTTAGAAGTTTGGTGATGTTTCTGTGACCAGAAATCTGCCATAGGAAATTTAAAATTCTTGAGTATATTGACTAATTTGTCATACAGTTGCTTTTGCTATATATCGTTTCAGTTAAAGTTGCATTTCCCAAGAATCTATCCATGATATTAAGTGAGAAATTAAGTGAGAAATTAATGTATTCACGATATTCTGACACGCCACCCTGACTTAGTTTAGCTGGCAATCGGTAGATGAATACATATTTCATGAGCTATATAAAGAATATGGTCTCACAAAAAATGACAAGTTGAGAAGAAAGACAGAAAAAGGCTAAAATACTTGTGGGGAACATGCAAGTGGAATTTTCATATCCTGAGACTCACATCAGACCTTGGTACATGAGAGAAGTAGAATAGAACCAGTGAAGCATGTAGGAAAATGTGCATTGTCTGAATACACCGGGATATGGATATACAGTTCCCTTCTATCATGTGTGTCCACAATAAGTGTGCATGCATTTCTGTGTGTGTGCGGGTAGGTAAGCTGCATCACAGAGTAAAAGACAGGTGATACTTTAGGCCGCAGTAAGAAGAGTCTGGCATCATTGTATACAGGAGAGAAGTATTTGAAAGGTCAGTTCTTGCTAATGAGGGAGAGACCATGTGAGTGAGGCCCCAACTGAAGGGCCAGGCTGGGTGGAGAACAGTTCCTTGGACACCAGGGCCCCCAGGCCGACGGACCCGCTGTCACTCCACTCGCCTGTGGTGGGGTTGACAGTGGGATCCTGATCTGAGTGATGTTTTTGTACCTGTTCCCCCTTATGTGACCACACGCTGTGACATGATGCAGTAGTGAGTGAGATTGTCCCTCCTCTAGTTTTTCATTTTTGTGGATTGATTGTTTTGTTTTTCTGGGCTTTAGGATTTGATCATTCTTTTAACATAGATGAACTGGTCCTTGTTTTGCTCCTCGTCACACAAGCAGTGGCCTCCCCAGACAATATTCCATAAAATCCTGCTTGTGCCCCAACAGTCTGTCCCTTTCCTCCGTGTTATTCCTGAGACCATCATATCCCACATGCGCTATTTCCTTGTGCTCAACCCTCTCTGTCATAACGTAACATCCACATGAGCAGGGACTGCAGCTAGTCTGTCCACCCTTTGTTTGTTGAACCAAAATTTAGAAATAACCTATGTGACCATCAGTGGATGAATAAGTAATGTGTACGTATATAGATATAAAATATGTATGCGCTCTCACTCTCTATATATAATTACTCTAATTGTCTATGATAAGTATCATGGATTATGTAAAACATATGAGGTGTTTTGTTATAATACATTGTGTCATTATAATATATTCTGTATAATAAAATATCATACAATATTAATCAAGGAAAGAAGGTCACCCTACCTTTTGCGACAACACAAGCACCTAAAAACTTTGTGCTCCATGATAGAAGTCAGAGAACTAGAAATACTGGATATCACTTATGAGTGTGGTCCTAAAAGAAACTTAAATTCCATTTTCCAATGGAAAATTTGGAAGAAGTTGTTTTAGGGTACACACTTGAAACTGCTGAATGAAAATGGTTCTGGTTCTACTGCATTGTGACGATATTCAACAGTGATTTATTATAACCTTCAAAGTTGTCAAGACATCGTGTGTTTTATCGTTTCGTGACAAAAATAAATATCAGTTGTGTGTATTAACGGTGGTGTTAGCTAGTGCTGCAGTGGTAATCATGTTGCATTGTATAAATATATCAAATCATCATGTTTTTCTCCAACTTACACCGTTTCATGTCAATTAAATCTCAATGAAAATACAACAGATCACATCACAAAAGTGAAGAGAGGAAGTAATGAGGAAAAACAGATGTGACATATGAACACAATGGGTATTATCGGTTGTCACTACTCAGAATACAGGAAAACAGCCTATGTTTAAAATACATAGTGGGACACAGTAGGGTTGACTGAGGCCCACACAAAATTGAAACCTTGAGCATTTTGCCAGTTCTCTATCCTTGTGTGGGATAATTAAGTGCAAAACATTTCTCTTGAAAAACTCTAATTCTGTTTGAATAATTGATCCCAAACTAGAATAAAATCTCAGCCCTAGTAAGTAATGAAACTGTAAGAATGAGCACAATTTTTAATTTAGAAAGGAAAAATTCTAACAAGCAAAACTCTGCAGATTTGCCAGGAATAGAGAGGTTGCAAAGTAAAACTCTTTAGTCTCCCCCAACTGACATTACCTGAGATGTATCACTTATGTGAGCACCTGATTTGTGGGAGGGACGACACACTGTTCCTCTCCTCAGCTGCTCCGGAAGGTAACCTGCCCCATTACTCTGGATGTTTCTAAAACAGCTCACCTGCTCACACACCCCATGCCCTTCCTTCATCCCCTTCCCCTTGAATACTTGATTTCCTGCTGCCTCAACTCCGGAACTTCTTGGCTCTGTCCTAACTTTGCAGGAACCATTTAAGCCTCCCGCTCCTCCTGCAGTCTCATCCACACAGATTTTCCTTCCTGTCTCTTCACTGTCAGCACCATCTCTGTATTGTTGAGAGCAGTGGACAGTTTTGAGTCACAAATTAAGTAAATTAATGATAAATTGATGAGTCAGTCAAGCAAGAG